TTAGCAATGTTCTTCCGACGTCTGATTTCTTTTTAAGAAATGCGTTTCTAAAGTGCATAAACTTTTGGGATTGACTGTATAGCCAATACTCCGACTGGTTTAAAGTTGATTGATGTCATAAGTCAGACAAATTACGATAAAATAAATAGAATATTGAAAACTGATTTTGATTATAGCAAATCAAATTGTTTCAAATAGAAGCCTGCGTTATCGACCGGCTGAGGTTTGAGATTCGCGATGTTACTTGCTAGGGAGCACGTCGATTCCGTTTTCATTGGTTTTGTTTTAAACGTAAAGGTGGAAAAGCGTAATTTTTAGTTCAACTAAAAATAACGCGGTGATCAGGTTCTTTTTCTTGATTGACAGTAAGGAATTTCACTTCTGAATCACTGGAATATTTATAATTTTATCGAGCGGCAGATACGGGTTAATGCTACGTACCGCGGTTAAATTTATCAGTGTTGTTATCGTGCTGTGTATCCCGATTTTGTATATATGAAACAAACTTTATTTCCCTTCGGCAGTATCGGATATAAACAAAAGTTAACTATTCTATTATAATTTTATTACATGACGCTGTTTCTAAGATAGTGCTGTACATACTTACATAGTTTAAGTTAGAAACACGAAAATCCTGTATGAAATGTGTTTGCACGACTTGATAGCAAGCACCGAAAGCTAAGAATAATTCTCTTTCTTAGGAAGTAGTAATTTAATGTCGGAAGTAATTCTTAGGAAGTAATAATTTGAATTGTACTAGAATTTTGCGCTACAAAAATACGCAGATACAGATTATATCATATTACGAGGACTATTTCGAGCACTAGACAGAACGTATTCTAAAGTTGGACGCGTGATCCAACGGAAACAGAAAGAAATTCTCACATTATATCTAGCGCGGTTCCGGCCGGCATCCGGCGCTTCCTGATCGCTACAGGTGGTCCCCGGTAAAAACCCTCTCCCGGGTTCGACGCGCCCACGCATTCCGCGCGACGTCATTGGATTTTCTCTGCCTCGAGTCATTCTCCATTCTCCTCTACGCGCTTGATTTCGTCGGCGTTGAGACAACATAAAGTGGTGCACCTCACCGACTCGCGTGGCCGCGAAGACGGTCACTCGTTACGTCAATCGCTAAATTTGAATTTCATTCGGGTTCGAGGAAGTCGAACACCCCGAGGCAAATCCGAACGAGACGCTACGCAATTGGCTGCCGACCGTAGGCGCGCGTAGACAAGTTTCAATTTGACCGATTTCCGCCTAGCTAATTAGCATAAAAGACTTTCTCGCCAACTTGCAATTAATAAGTAGACTGCGAATTTTCTATATATCGAAAAATTGAATGTGCGCCAAATATAAACATACGTCATGCATAAAAATGTAGACAATATAGAGAGTTTAATTCATATTGAAATACCTAGGTGATGAATAGAATTTCTATATAAAATGTATTTTTTAGACTGATATTATAAATGGTTTATTTTGCATCAAAATCCGTAGTCTACTAATCAAATGATAATTACACGGATTGCATAGTCAGTGTACATAGAGAAGACAAATTATCATGCTGACGATACAATATCTTCAATTTGAGAATTTTTTTGCATATTAGATCTATCTGATACTTCTGATATGTCGTCCTTTTAAGCTGCTCGCATTATCTGTTTATTCTATACATTGAATAACGTGATATGCTCATTTTTAATCGGATTGATTCTGGTTTCATTCATATTCATACAAAAACACTGTTCACCGTCACTTCTTGAATTATCTAATGAAATATCTTTTCGCTTTCTCCTGAACATTCACGTTTACGTCAGTATTATCATTTTCACCACAGACAGGTACGCGCGGAATTAATGAGCTAACTCAGAGGTTTAATTGTTGTATTACTCAACGCGTATCGTCTACAGACGAGTGATATTAACATTTGCAGCCGATCACGTTCTGCATGTGTTACGAGCTGTACCGTTTCATTTCCAAACACTTTTTCCAGCTTACGCGTGAAGCAAAGTACCCACAGAGAATTGTTTTGTAAAAAGAAAAACCATTCTTATTATCACGTATTTTCCAAATTCATCTTATTATCCGCTTATGAAATAGGAGGAATGCGAAAAGGATAGCTAGGAGGAAATATAGAGTAGATTTAGTGCAACCTACAGGAAAAATACCAATAACGTGTATTTGAATGAGGAAATAACAATGTTGCCTCTTCGTTTCCTCAATCATATTATAGTAAAACGTAAAGTTTCGCTGATTACACCTATTTATCTATAACTGGAAAATACTATTATAAATTTATCTCTATAGTATTTTCTTAACATGTACAATAGTTGCATCCGTTCGATAACAGCCATCGTCAATCAAATATTTTAGTAATGAATAACGTTGACGCCACTGGAATTGATAAGAAATATCTTCCACGTAAATTTAGTAAACGTTCTTTACAAAAAGTACATATATGTTACTCATAATATAAATGTTTAGTAATCGATAAAAATGGGTAGTAGGAATGTAGTAAGTGAACCTCCGAATTTTTGAACGTCCTGTCAGACGTATGGGCGAGTCGATCGTAGTTCCTCTCTAAATTTATCGTCGGTGATTAATGACCGTAGCGTACTATAAAGATTTGTATTACCATGATCGCATTACGTGATTGAACAAGACTTTTTACGTTCATACGTAAATTTTATATTGTAATTTGCATCGTTAAACGGATTAAACTGTAATTAACAAATCGTAATGTCAATTATAATTACATTCATCAGTCGAACTCTTTAAGAGACGTACTTTACGCTCTAGAAGGGAAATTGGATTTTAAGGCGAACATTTTGTTGATGCGTCAAAAAAATTGTAAGCCTTCGAGAAACAGACTCCGTTCAAAGTAGATTTACACGTTGTGTCTTCCAGTCCGAAAACAAAAGTCTCGGACGACACGTGCGTGAAGAAGTAAGGCATGTAGTACAAATAATTTTGCTGTTCCATCCCCGACGCAACCAAAATTCGCAGAAGCCGATCAGACTTGCAGATTCGCAGAACACAGTATCTGTAACGAAGTACAAAATTGGAGTTTCCTTCGTGGCTACGATTATACTCGTGCAACACGTACATATATCGTATCATCGGCGATAATAGAAAAGCGTTCATCTCGTTACGTCATATTTGCGCTATCATTCAAAGATAATCCTAATGGTAGGACTGATATCAATCATCAATTAGTGTTCCACTTTTAAGGATCTATCATGATCTATTAGAAAGAATTTTGATAAACATTCGTCTCTCGTGTACTTCATAATCTCTCATGGAATTTGATGTTCTTAGGTGTCGACAAATTCCTTATGGATTGATTATTTTAATATTAATAAATGTTTAAAATATAATGTTTGTACAGTATTATGAATAATTTGCGAGCTTTGTATATTTTAAAGATTCAAGCTTTTAATCCGACTGTGATGTTGATGTTCCGTAACTTATCACAAGCAATCGATTTCTCTGAGTACTTTACGCAATCTTGACAAATTCCAATTAAAAGAATTTAAAGAACGCGTGTTCATAGTGCTCGTAACTATCAAAAGAAATATACTATACGTGTATGTATACTTAATAATAAAATGGCAATAATGACAATTATTTTTTTTTTAAAAAAAAGAATGGAGATTATTTAAATGTGAATTAAATAATTGAATGGTAACTAATGACGAGGAATTTAATGATTTATATCTAATGCCCCGCCCATACGCTTCAATGCTTAACTCTGACACTGCTTAATCCACCGAAGCATGATGAAGCATCTAGATACCTATTATCTCTTTTAACATTTTATACGCACACATACTTATTTTTGTCAAATTATGATTGTATTAAATAATAAATAATATCTGAATTTCATTAAAGATTTATAAAGATAAATGAAGACATTTTTAATAATAAAAAATAATTCAGAAATATTAATGTAACAATAAAATAAAAATGATAAGACAAATGAAATAGTTGATATAAAGCATTGACAATAATTTATGAGAATTGGATAGCCATAAAAAAGTTTTCTCTATAATTTTCCTTTGGTCAAAGCAAATAAAAAGGAAATTTGATTAAGGCAGTGTACTTGTGACACCTTTCCACCGGACCTCTTTGAAGCATGCACCGCGCGAGTATAGATACATGTATCATCATCGTATACTGATAAATAAAAGCCTCGTGGCTTGGAGGAACACCGTCAGTGTGCTCTCAGAAGTGAACGGTGAACCAACGTGAGTTTCGTGCGGAGTTTGATTCTCCGTTACGGATCGCGGTGTATTCGATTACCCTTAACAAGCACATCAGAACCTGACTAATTCATTAATCTTCTTCAGTCGAGCCTGTGAATCTTAAATTATTCATGAAAGCAGTGTCGGCAAGTTATTTATGTGTTTGCTGCGATTTATCTGTGATAGTTGAAATAAAAATTGCTGCCTGAAAACGTGATAACAATCACGACTTAAGAAGAACGGAAAATATACGGATCAGTAAATCGATTTATGTAGTGATTAATACCTAATAGATACGCCTCGTATTTATGAAGGTATGTATACATACATAATGCAGGAAATTACAGTAAATACTACACACAAGTTTCATTTATTCACGGAGGATTGTTTTAAAACGAATTTTTATTTTTGAAGTTGCAATATTTTAAAATAAATGTGCATCCTTATCATCCACTCACTTATCAGTTATCAATGACTTATTTTACAATTGAAGAGTCAACCATTCAATTATTAAAATTCTTGTTTGCTGTTACGATTCTCAATACTTAATGCTAAACTCGATGCAATTCTAGAATCAATTTACTTTCGCGTTTTCATTCGGTCCATCGATTTCTTGAATGAAACCTCGTGAAAAATGTACGCCTCATTGCCGAAAATAAGGAACCGGCTTACTTTCAGCATCGAAATAGCGGGAATCCATAGGTCAACGCCCATACGTCTCACCAGACTCACTGTCGTTTTAACATGCCGGCTTAACAATTTTCTATAATCGTACTGTCGTACGAACTCGCGCTTCAACTGGCATTTGACTTTCCGGTTATGTTTAAGTTACGACTTCTAAAGACATTATTGAAATTGATTAGTGTAGAAGTGGCGGAAAATCCAGTTACTATCTGCACGACGTTCGAAGTTGTTGCATCAAACCATCAAGCGATACCGTGACTCTTTACAAATTACATATTCGAGTAATGCTACTACCGGGTGTTTCAGGTCTCGTTTAGAGGAGTGCAATTCTAGTACGCAAGAACCGATGAACGACAAACAAACGCAAAGGCAAACACGTTGCTGATGATTAAATACTTCTTGATTAAAGACAGCGAGGAGATTGTCTTCTAATACTAGAAACTCATCTTCAAGGAGATAACAGTAGAAGAGGGGAAACTTATTCCGTTATCAAAGTTAATACTCGTCGAAACAGCTGAACGTTATTATCTTCCTCACCGTTCTGCCTTTAATCGATACCAAGAAAATAATCAAGAGAGAAATGTAAACCGTGGGAAGTTTGAAAGAGTATATCTGTGTTACGTTAAATTTTGATCTCGAGAGATAGAACATTAATCCAGTTGGGATATTTCAAGTCTTCCTCAGACCTTGGGAACGAGCTCGTCTCGTGAAAGGAGGATACCGATTAATTCTATAGAATAAAACGAGAAGGAAGGTAGAGAAGCCGAATACCTGAAGGAAAGAACAAGAAGAGCTGAATACCTAAAGCGGAGAACGAGAAGAGCCGAACACTTGATAATAAGTGTACATATGAAAAACGTGTTCGTACAAAGAGCTTGTTTACAGATGATGTAAAATGAATATAAAAATGTATGATTGCCTCTACGTAAAGGAGCATTAATGTAATGTAAAATACGCTTATATATAAGTATACACAGGTTCGACTTTTAAAAGTTCTCAATAACCTGCGGGATTTATTTTATACAAACATTCGAGGAATGTTATAAAATTTCCTTGACGATAGTTTCCGCAAACCGTGTCGATCTATCGAAACTCAAAATGGGTTTAAGGAAAGTTTTGATGCTGTCGCCTATTCTATTTTGTCACCTGGCAATTTGCATTGACAATATAGGCGATGCACCGATCGTACATCCGATTTCGTTGGTACGTATCAAAATTAATTAAATCAACGCACAATACGTATGCAGCAACAAATAACTTGATGATTATCTAATCAGATTTCAATCTCAAGTGCTCCGTTTTTAACGCTGCATAAGTATGCACTTCGTAAATCTTATATCCGAAATTAATCAGGTAAAAGAAAGTAATTAAAATGGAATTTTAAGAGGTCTCTACGGAAAAAGTGATTTCGTATAATTTTAATTCAAAATGTTTCTTTTAACAAACGAATACATTATTACTAAACGTATAAGACAAATTGTGGCAAATCACATAAATATATAAAAATATTTATGTACATTTATTTTCGAAACCTTTAAATAAAAATTACAATAATAATTGTCAAACTTTTTTTTTATACATTACTTTATAGGAAAACGCTACGGCAATACCAGACTTACCTGTAGTTGGAAAATGCTGCGCAGTTGGTGAAGTTTTAAAGAAAAACATAAATGGCAGTTCATTTTGCACAGCTATGGATTCGTCAGTCACTGAACACTTCTCCCCATTTTTCCATGAGTTCAATGTGTCTGGCTATATTGCTAAGGGTGAAATGCAAAATAATTTTGCTGCAATCACCGGAAATCCCTGCAAATATAGAAGGTAAGTTATATTTAATAAGCAGGCAGTAATTTAATTATTAATCCGGTTCAATCGCAAGATTTATAAATACTGTGCCCTTCGCTACGTGCAAATATTGAGAGTTTTTCCTAATTCTTTCCCAAGTTCTTATGTAACAATGTATGAAGTAAATGCTTATCGAAGAGACTGCAACTCAACGCCTTTCAACAATCTTATTTTCAACGGGCTTATCGATAATACAAACAATATCTTTAGACTTATAGCAATTTTCAATAACATTTAATCTGGGAATGACTAAAAGTACTAAAAATAACATAAAATAGCAAACTAGAAGTAGAAAAAAGAAATAGCAAAAATTATATTTATCTCTTTTTTAAGTTGAGTATATCTGCAACAGTGAAAACAGCTCGTCTTATCTCGCCTGCATTGTAGCATAAATCTCATACTTTATATTCAAGGATAAGTCTCCTTATTTCTTTGTCAAAATGTAAATTATAATCATCATGAATTTTCATTATTCTTAACAGTATAACATAAATTGTTTTGTTAATTGGACACGATGTTTTCTTTACATTCACATACAACTTAGAAAATAATTACAATGCAAATAAAGGAAGGAAGTAAAAGGGCTTTTGTTTTAATTTCAGATACATGTTGAACTCATCTGAAACCAAAGAGGATATAAATTATTTATTAATGAATGGATCCGTGTATCGCCCTTATGGCCCCAAAGGTGCTAGAATGTTACAACCAGGGATAGATTATTGCAAGGAAATAACAGTAGAATTTGGACTCCAAACTCTCGTTTGTTATCCTGAAGGTATTTTAAAAGAACTTTAAAAGAAAAATGCTATTTAGAGAATATGCGGTGATTTTGTTCTTTCGCTAATATTAACGAATTCGTTTCAGAGCGAATAATAATAACCGCGGACTCTCGAATCACGATTTACGCCTGCAGTCTTCTAATATCTGTGCCATTCTTAATTCTCACCATCGTCGCATATTCCATCACGCCGAAATTACGAAATGTTTACGGCAAAACGTTATGTTGCTATTGCGGGTGTTTGACAGTCGGCTGTACAATACTAGCGATTGCTCATTTAGGGAACCGACACTTATCGGATCAAGCTTGCATTACTTTAGGTAAGAAATTAAAAACATTAATGCAAAATGAACAACAATTATGTACTTCAATGTCTGTAAGACAAGTGTCTTTAGATTACGAAAAGACAACTGTAAAATGTTCATGCGATTCTGGTGCGCATTATCCAAAAGAAAATTCTTGCTCGCCTTATTTGATGTTTCCAACAATTAGTAATTCCATAAGTTATCGCGCGTTATGGGATGCTATAAAATAATACGATGTACATTCCTTTTGAAGCAAGATCGGAGCCGATTCGGGATTAATTAAAATGCATTTGATTTTTTCCAGCGTACGTAACCCAGCTATCCTTCGTCGCGTGTTTCTTCTGGTTGAACGCAATGTGCATTGAGAAGTGGTCGTCGGTGTCCAGCTACGTTAAACGGGAAACGTACCAGCGGATGAACGAAGAGACGTTGTTCTGTTGGTACTCGGTATGGTCCTGGAGTCCATCGGTGATACTTATTCTGATTTCAATAATCAAGGACCTTGGCCCGACGATAGCGGCTACTTACCTGATGTCGAGCCACGGAAAAGGATCCTGCTCGTTTAAAAGTAAGTTGATTGACAATAGGACTTCAATTTCATTAACATTAACAGAACTCTAGACCAGAAAACTAATTATTAAATTTTTATGCAAAAGAAAAATATTTGTAATATTAGTTAAAGATATAACAATTTATTTTATTATTTAAGTAAATATTGTGGAACGCACTTCACTTTTCATATTCCCTATATTTTTTTACATTACATATATGCAATATTTATAGTATTTTATGTGTACATTAAATTTTTCTATAAATGCATAAAATCTGTACGTTCGATACTTACTTTTAAAAGTTACACAAAACTGATAAAGTTATCACATATAATGTTATTCATTAATTTACAGCGGACAAGGCGGCAATGCCGTATTTTTATGTGCCGAGCGGATTGCTGCTACTCGGGAACGCGATTATCTTCGTCTTGATTCTGATCAAGTTGAAGAAATATCAAATGAAGCTCGATATAAGGCGTCTTAGGAGGAATGAGGAGTCCGATCGGGTCGATCGAAGACATCTTCGATGTATGACAAAGGACACATACGTTTGCATGATCGTGTCACTTTTGGTGACTTTGAATTGGTTGATGGAGCTGATAGCTTGGTATATGAACGGAAGTTCGAGGATCGATTGGTCCCCGTTCAAACTCGTGAACGCTCTCCAAGGTATTTGGATCTTCGGTTTGTTCGTCCTACGAAGGCCACCGAGAGACTTCGTCTGGCAGAGAATACAAGAAATTCGCGGTGTCTACGTGGAACCGGAACCTGAACTCGGGAGCATGGAAATGTTCCTAGTTACAGAGCCGAACGGAGATACGACGTTCAATCAAACGATCATACGGTGAAAGTGATAGGTATATTCTTTCTTGAAATCGTTGTATATTATGTATGAACGAATTAACTACCAAAAGATGCTTAAAAGTTCCTTGACGATACGTACAATTTTAGTAGGATTTACTTATGAACTGAATTATTTATTACGCGTATGGACTTTATTTGTATGCTATTGATATCACGTGTGCAATAGGAATGTCTCCATCCTGTAGCATATTTAAAATAAGATTCACTTAACTTACAATTAATTTGATTGCTGATAATGGTAATGCGAAAGCCTTATCTATGATTCAATTATAAACGACAGGAAATTATCGCAATTAACAGTTTTTGATTTAGAGTTGCGTACCTTCATGAAAATGTTTTTGTAAGTTTTGAATCTCGAGCCTTGAAAAAAGACTTAGGAATTTCATTATTCTGTAAAATAATAAGAGAACACTAGTCTATCAAATGGGGAAACCGTGTTCGATGTAAATTTTACAGCTCGCGTTTTTGGATAATAATATGCTTCTCATGCACTTATCTTGATTACATAAATAATTCTCATCACAATGGTATACGAGTGTTACGACTAATTATGCAACAGTAAGAAACCGGATAGGCTATATTACGAGATACGGCTTATATACTATGTACTCTTCTCTTCTTTGAATCATCTACAGCAAACAATAGGGTATTTAATTCTAGATATGTAATTTTCCCAAGTTCGCGGCATAGTTGAGAATATTTAGAATTAAATACCGATTTCATTTATCATTTAACTTGATGTATACATTTAAAGGTTCATAAATCTGGAAAGATAATGAAATATTTCCTTCACCGATCTTCATTTCTTCATTCTTACGTTTCAATAATTAGCGATAATAAACATTTTTGTACGACTTCTACACATAGGGTAATTAAATTCGTTTTAGGATAAGAAAAGGAATAGATTTAGTATTTATTGTAAAGCTCTTAAGTTATTTATCAAGGGTGTGCGAGTACTCGGACAAATTTATGTGCTTGTCAAACTTTCGGGATAACGCCTAGCCCAATTTGATCCGAGACTTGGGTGCTAGAAATTATCGGGTACCCGCATACCCATATTATTTATGTATAAACAGTTAAATTATTGATTATATATATGTTATCTTAAGAGATATTGCACTTGATCTTTTCAAGTCCTATTACCTCATTAAATGAACAACGATGAATGGTTTATTCAATTTCTTCTTCATGCGAGTAAAAAATATTTTTTATTTGCGTTCCCTTATAAGATACCTATAGTGTACATTTGTTCGCGTTGATTCTGTGTTGCTTCCGTGCAATATAAAAATAACTTGCTATGAGTTCGTACAACTAGACCCATTGGTAGAATCTTTGTAACAAGTTCTTAATGACGAAATAATTTTCCTAATAATCTAACAAAAATTGATCGTTATTTAGGAGTACTAAAGCTCCAAAGCGTGATTAAGCACTAATGCCTTAGGGCAATAACTTGACAGCAAAAACCAGGTACCAAAAATAAGTCTTAATCCAATCCTATATTCAAGGCATTTTTAAATGCCTGTGAGTATCATCCATTACCTCAAACAATATTGTATTATTCAGTAAATATTACACTCGATTCACTGGTTTCACTAATTTCATGAAACACACACATATTGTACGTACAAAAATATATATTCAGTTACTAGTTTTAAAAAACTTAGTAAAAGATAACATAAATACTTTCGTCCTCAATGTAAAAATAGTAGTCTACCTTTGAATTGCTTAACAAAAATTAATTTACAAAATGTACAGCATTTGCCGAATAATACAATTATAAATTTCTTCTCCCTCTCTTTTCTCGTCTACAATCATATTAAAAATAATATATGTAGGATAAAATTCCATCGCATTTAAACTCTGCGGTCCTCTTCAGTGTAACACTTATTTCTTACACTGTGTACTATGCTCAAACACGTAATGATTATAAAACTAGCAGCTGCTATGAAGTGTCACTTAAAGGAAAGTTAGAAGGACGGAATAAAGATCCGCATATCTTAACGGGTTTGCTTTCCATAAATCCTTCTAACTATGCAATCAGAATATTGTAGTAGCATGAATAAATGCAATATGCAAATATTTTGTACTTTTTTCAAAAATGTCGTATTTTAGATAAAAAAATAACTTAGTTCGCTATTGTTTCTATTGAAAGAAGTATTAAAGATTATGATGAAACATAATATCACATATCTCGAGCTGCTTAGTTTTTGAAATACATATTACATTTGTATGGACAGTCGCGAGATTAAATAACACGTTGCAGAAAGACGATATTCTCTAAGTCGTTCAACTTTTCCTCAGCCGACTTCTCTCCCATTCCAGTTTAAAATAAATACAGCTTGTTCTTATTTATACTATCTTAAAG